TACGTTCTCTACGTTGTCGTCTGCTGCGGTGTGTGTACTACACCCAGCAGGTCTCGGGCCTCGGGGCATCTCCCCCATTACCCGGGTAGTCCTCACGGCCCATTTCTATGGGCCGGTCATTGGGAGCCGGTAATCCGGCATTGTTGGTTGTCTTAGTTTTTTGTTTATTATTTTAGCTAGGTCGGGTAAGTCGCCGTATAGGCGGCTGCATCGACCTAGGCATCAAAGTTGGCCTGTCAGTGGCATTGCGGGCTTTACTCGACTCTCTAATCTCTAGTAGAGAGGAGTTCTCTTGGTAGAGGTCGCCCGTCCGGGGGGCGAGTGTGTAGCGGCGCAAAGTTGTTAAGGTGTGGATGTGGCCCGTTGTCTGCGCGGTCGAACATACCGCGCGTCAACCGGACCACAAACTCTTCGATTGTCTCCATTTTCAGGTTGGCCGCTATGACGTCATTCCGGACGTAGCGACCTGCACCGACAATGGTCCTTAGTGATTGATTCTGCTGGACCTGCAACCGCTGCCTCTGTCTGCTGCTCAAGAGCGCGTACCAGGCCGGAGCGGCGTATGTTAGCCTCGGACGAATATACGTCTTATATAGAGTGATCTTAGTTTTCATCGGCAGCTTGGATGCCAGGACTGGACGGAGCATCGCCCGCGCACATCTGGCATTGCGGACGACGATGTCGACGTGCGCAGTCATGCGCAACATCCTGTCGATCCGGCATCCAAGGTAGGTTACGGCCTTCTGATACGCGATCTCTTGGCCTCTTAGCTTCAATGGTGGTGGTAGTTTTCTGTAACGGCGGGTGAGTAGAGCGGCCGTCTTTCCCACGTTGACAGCCATCCTCCACTCATCCAGCCATGGTGGCAGCAGGTCCAGCAGGCGCTGCATCTTGGCAACCGCGATGTGGGCTCTTCTGGACGACGTGAAGTAGGCACTATCGTCCGCGTATAGCGCCAGCTCTACGTCGTCCTCCCATTCCTGCAGTTGTCCAGCCAGCGTCGGTATATCATTGGTATATGCCGCGTACAGGATCGGTGAGAGACAGCTGCCCTGCGGTACGCCGGCTCTAATTGGCTTGACTGCGGACTCGGCATCCTCTACGCAGACGTAGAAGCTTCTGTCAGCTAGAAATGACGCCACTAGCCGCAGCATAGCAGGAGGGACACTCGTTTGTTGATTCATCTTGTAGAGTAGTCCAGAGTGCCACACCCTGTCGAACGCCTTCTCTATGTCCAAGAAGACGCCCACAGACGTTCTCTCATAATTGTGCTCCGTCGATAATAGGTGCAGCACTCTGGTCAGCTGTGTAGCTGTAGAGTGTCCGCTCCGAAATCCGTGTTGTTCCGCCCGCAGTTGTATGCACGGGCGGACTCTTCTTAAAACGATGCGCTCGAACAGTTTGGCTATGTGCGGTAGCAGCGTAATCGGCCTGTAGCTAGCTGCTCTACGCCTGTCCTTCCCGGGTTTTGGCAAGACGATGATTTTGCCGATTTTCCAGCTCTCCGGGAAGTGGGAAGTCCGCAGAATGCCATTGTAGAGTTTTCCTAACTCTACTGTGGTTCTGTTTGGCAGCTGTCTGAGTGCTGCGTTCGTGATCCGGTCGTGCCCCGGCGCCTTCCTCACTTGCAGGCGGTTAATCGTCCTCCGCAATTCTGTGGGAGAAATAAACCATTCTCCTGCAAGCGTTGGCGAGGGCGACGACAGGAACTCCTGTACGCGGCTCTCCTTTTGGGTATGAAGTTCCATGAACTCCGCACTTGCTGGATTCGGCATAAACTGCTCCTCGAAGTGCTCAGCTAGGATATCCGCTCTTTCCTTGGCCTCATAGCATCTCTCTCCAGTACTACTTAATAGTGCGCATACAGGTGATCTTGTTTTTGTCAGCTGCCGGTTCAATTTGTAGAGCGACGCATCTTCCTCCTCTGCTTTCCATATGCGCCGCTCCCAGGCCTCTCCTCTGTGGGCCTGGATTGCAACCGACAGCTCTTCTGCTAAGGTGTTGAGTTGCGACTTGATTCTTGGACAGCGCGTACGCGCCCAAAGCCTCCTTAGTGCTCTCTTTTTCCTCAGCTGAATTTGTATTTTTTGTGGCAGCTCTTCTTTCTTTTTGGTAAGTGGGACGATCGTAGAGGCTGCGTTGAGAGCTTCTGTGATCGTCTTAGTAATTCTGGTTGCAGCGGCCTCTACGTCGTCCGCTGTGTTGATCGGTGTTATTACTGGAGGTCTCTCCAGAAGATGTTGTTGGTAGAGCCTCCAGTTGATCTTAGTCTTGAAGGCTCTGGGAGGCGACGTCACTGCCCTGAGGCCTAAGGTGATTAATAGCGGGAGGTGCTGTGTGTCCGCGTCGTACAGCACCTCTACCACTATCGGGCAGTTGATGTTCCTAGTGAGCACGATGTCCAGCACATCCGGACTCTTCCGGTGATCGGCTGGAATATGCGTCGGCTCTTCGGGACCTAATACGTCGTAGTTGTTTAATTCCGCATCATCGTAAAGAGCACGACCCGGCGGGGTGATCATTCTTGATCCCCATGCCGGGTGTTTCGCGTTTAGGTCCCCTGCTATAATGGTTGGTGTTTCACCTTCCATTATTGTCCGGATGTCTGAGGAGCAAAATGGAGTCCCTGGCGGGCGGTATGCTGCGTAGATCCTTAGTTCCTCGCCCGCCGCCTCCATTTTTATGCCGATTGAGCGCATAGTTTGGTACTGAGGTGGTTCCAGCTCTAGGTGGACGATGTCTCTTCTTACTAGAGCCGCCGTTCCTCTGTAGGCGACTCCTTGAGTGTTGACCTCGTCCCTCCTGTATATAAAGTAATTCGGCAGCTTTATGCGCGTCGCAGGTCTCAGCTTCGTTTCGCCCAACAGTATTACGTGTATGTCCTGCTGTTGGGCGATAGTGCGGAGTTCATGTATCTTCTGCTGGATTCCGTCCGGGTTCCAGTATAGGAGGCGCAGGTTATCCGGGTTACACGACACCACTGTAGTGCCGAGCCAGTAGCTGCGCCAAAGCCTTCATGATAGCTGTGATCGGGTCCGTCCCGGCTCTTATATCCGCCAGGACTTGGCTGCCCACTTCTATAGCGATGCCTACCAGTCTCTGGATGGCATCTGTCATGTCTGGGGCAGCTGTTGGTGTTCTTCTTGCGCTTGTTGTTGCTGGTACTGTCCTCGGGTGTGGTGTCGGTAATTCTGCTCTACCTTCTCTACCTTGGGTAGAGCGTGCTCTTTGTGTAGAGCGGGCTCTATTTTCTAATAGAGCCCTTCCTGGGGCTCTACTCTCGGTGGTTATCCTTTCTGTGACCTGCGCCTGGGCCATCGTTACCGCTGGGGTAGGGGTAGAGGTGGCTGCCGCTACCTGAGGAGGTTGCTCTTTCTTCTTCTTACTGCGCACCCGCTTCTTCTTCTTTGGCTGTTGCCTCTCTGTGGCATCGTTAGCGGGTGGCTGTAGAGTCGTCCCGGTGGTTGCTTTTGGAGCCTCGTACGTCTCTACTTGTGGTTGCTGTGCGGGGGGTGGGGGGGGGTGGTTGCCTTCCCCTTCCTCTAACTGTTGCCCACCCGTCTTCTTGGATTTCCACTGTTCGGGGGTGACTCTGCGGGACCCCCCTAGGGGCTTCCGGTTGTAGCCCCGGTAGGGTGATCCCTTGCTTCCTTGCGATCCTCCTCAGGACCGGGCAGCGGCGATCATTCGCTGTGTGGTTATTACCACAGTTGGCACATCTTGGCTCTACCTCTCTACCCCTTGGGCATTCGCTTGCAATGTGGTTATCTCCGCAGCGGACACACTTCACTGGCCTGAAGCAGTTCGCTGATGCGTGTCCGAAGGCCTGGCAGCGGTGGCACTGTGCTGGGCCTACTCTTCTCTGCCAGGCTTCTATGGTTACGCCTTTCATGAATAGGAGTTCGTCTATTGCATAGAGCTCCTTCAGCTGCTCCAGGCTCAGGTGGTCCAGCTGGGCGAAGTAGAGGCATCCAGGCCTGCCTCTACGAGGAGGGATTTCCTTCACGTACTTAAGAGGAAATCCCTTTGCCCTGATGGCCTCTCCTATCTGGCTTGCGTCCGTGCCCACTGGTAGCCCCCGGATGCCCACTTTGGTGGGCTTGTCTTCTTCAGGGGTGTAACAGTACCACGACATTGATGGCAGCTCCTTGGATATTTCGATCAAATATTTTTGTATTGTCCGGAATTCTTCCGGACTTTGTGGGGTGAATCTGACACCCTTCCCGAACGGACGAGCATTCGGCGGGTGGCCTAATTTCCTATTAAGCACTTCGAAATGCTTTGTCCAGTCCGGGAGGCATTCTGCTACTATTGGCGGATAGCGTGCCTTTTCTTTGTCCGGTTGGGTGGTGGCTGTTTCCGGCGACTTGGGTCGTGGTACTGCCGGGGCAGCCGCCAGTTGGGCGTAACTTGTTGATGGCCTCTGTCCGTCATCCGTGGAGAGTCCAGAGGGGTTGGTAGCAGGCGCGGGGGGGGATCCTCCGGCGAACGGGGGGAGGGTCGCGTACGTCGTCGACTTAGTTGACCCCCACCCATAAGATTCTTCACCTCCCTCCTCGTAGTCGGCCGTATCCACAGTGCTTCTACGGTCCGGCGATGCGGGGGGGGGGGTCGGTTTACGCGGACTTGGCGATTTCGGTGGCGATCTATGTGTGGTGTGGCTCGTTTGTGCTTCATCTTCGTCTGACGATGACGTTGCATAATCCGACTGTAGTAATTCAACACACTGCCGCTTCTCATGTAGTGAGTCTTCCGTTTCCGGTGGGGTATGCCGCCTGGCCGCTTTCTTCGCCCGCTGAGGCAGGGGCGACGGTTCCTTCCCACTCGCACGCTCAGGTGCGGTGGGAGTGAGCGCGACGCTCGACGCGGGTCCTTGGGGCGACGTTGGCTTCTTCTTGGGAATCTGGCTAAATGATGCCACTACCGTTGACCGCTCCGGATATTGCAGATTCCTTACGAATAAAGGCCGATCCAATACACCCGGGCGATCCGGGGGTTTCCTAACGCGGGGGGGTGGGTGAGCTAGCGGCGGACACGCCGCTCTTTGCGCCACCGCTGCTCTTACCCGTCGACGGTTTCTTAGAGGCGGACGATTTTGATTCAAGCTTAAAGGAACCGGAAGCCCCCTTGCCCTTTGTCTGTATAAGCGCACCCGATTCGACTGCGCTCTTCAGGTACTTTCTGATGAACGGAGCTAGTTTTTCAGCGTCGACTTTATATTGAGCGGCAATATATTTTTTTATCGCTTGCAAAGATGATCCACTGCGCTCTTTCAGCTCTTTAATTGCGCTGGTGACCATTTCGGAAGTCTTCGGATGAGTGGGTTTCGCCTTGGGCTTCTTTGCACCACCTGCTGCAGTAGCGGCGGCCTTCGGTTTTTTCGCCGGAGTCGCCGGAGCGGGAGTTTCGGAAGCTACTGCTGTATCTGCCATTACTTCGTAGTAGTAGTATTAGATCACAAACGAACTACAAACACTGACTCACACAACTCGCGATAGATGATAATAACAAAGGAAAATTGTAAATTGTTGTTATATATCGTACACAAATTGATATTACGTAGGATAATACACAGGTGGCGACACCTACGTTGTCGTCTGCTGAGGTGTGTGTACTACACCCAACAGGTCTCGGGCCTCGGGGCTGACCCCATTGCCCGGAATCTCCTCGCGGTGCATAACTATGCACCGGTCGTGGGAGCCGTTTCGGCATTGTTAGATGCTATAGTGATACGGGTTTGGTTTCCCGGTCACTATTTTCAGTTTAAAGTCTTCTTCCAAAAATTTTTTCAGGAGGCGGGTAATATGGCCCGCTCCTGAAAACGTGGCATTATATGGCCTTTTTTCCTGAAAAGGCGCCTAATTCGGCCTAAGCCTGAAAAAGACGCCTAGTTCGGTATATGGTTATCTAGTAAATTTGTGTGTCAAGTCAATATGGCCGGCGGCTAATGCGGCCGGCCGTCTGGGTTGGCCTGTCTGCGGCATTGCGGGTTATTACTCGACTCTCTTATCTCTATAGAGAGGAGTTCTCTTGGCAGAGGTCGCCCGTCCGGTGGTCGAGCATGTAGGGGAGCAAAATTTTGTAGATGTTCGTGTGGCCCGTTATCAGCGCGGTCGAACATACCGCGCGCTAATCGGGCCACAAATTCCTTGATTGTTTCCATCTTAAGGTTCGCCGCGATGACGTCGTTCCGGACGTAGCGACCTGCACCGACGATGGTTCGTAGACTTAGGTTCTGCTGAACCTGCAGCCGCTGCCTCTGCCGTTCGCTCAGGAGTGCGTACCAGGCCGGCGCGGCATAGGTGATCTTTGTGCGTATGTATAACTTATAGATTTTCAACTTTGTTCTCAGCGGTAGTTTGGATGCCAGGACCGGACGGAGCGCCGTCCGCGCACATCTGGCATTGCGGAAAGGTGGCGACAGTGGTGGTTCATCTCCTTATGGAGGTTTTCATGTGTCGAGGAGACCCTCTTTACATGGGCGGCATCTCAGGAGGACACGACCCCCCGGTCTTGGGTGCTGCGTTGGCAGCTTATATGTAGGTGTATTGCGCACATCGCGCCATCACGTCGAGTGTCGGGACGCTCACTCACCCCCGGCGTCCCCTGTGCCGGGCAGTGAGCGTAGAAGTTCACGTGGGAGTGGTCGCCCGTCAGGTGGGCGGGCGTGGAGGGGAGCAAGATTTTGAAGGTGAAGGTGTGGCCCGTTGTCTGCGCGGTCGAACAACCGTCTCGCAGAACGGACCACAAAATCGTGGATGGTTTCGACCTTGAGGTCGCGAGAAATGATGTCATTCCTGACGTAGCGACCGGCTCCCACGATCACCCGGAGCGCAAGATTTTGCTGGGCCTGCAACCTCTTGCGCTGAGTGGCCGAGGTCAACGCGTACCAGGCTGGTGCTGCGTAGGTCAGCCGCGAGCGGATGTAGATTTTGTAGATACCTATTTTCGTTCTTGTTGGGAGTTTGGATGCCAGTATAGGGTATAGTTTCGCTCGCGCCGCTCTGGCCTGTCTCACAACGTGATTGACCATCGGGGTCATGCGCAGCGAGCGATCTATCTGGCATCCTAGGTACGTAATGGTACTACTCCAACCCACATCCTGCCCGCGGAGTTGCAGAGTTGGTGGTGTTCTGGCCAGCCTGGTCATGAAGGCGACGGTCTTCCCGACATTGACCGCCAGCCTCCATTTGTCCAGCCACTCAGGCAAGAGGTCGAGTACCCGCTGCAATTTCTTAGCAGCTATGTCCACCCGACGTGATGACGCGAAGTACGCACTGTCGTCGGCGTACAAGGCTAGGACAACGTCATCCTCCCATTCCTCCAGATGGCCTTGGAGGGTGGGGATGTCGTTGGTGTAGACCGCGTACAGGTGCGGTGATAGGCAGCTGCCCTGTGGCACTCCCGCAGAAATCGGTCGTGCCGCCGAAACAGCCCCTTCCAAGGAGACATGGAAGCTCCGCCCCTCCAGGAATGACGCTATTAACCGCACAAGCATGGGCGGTAAAGTGGTGTGCTGAATGAGTTTATAAACTAGCCCTGCGTGCCACACCCTGTCGAAGGCCTTCTCCATGTCGAGAAGGACCCCCACACAGATGCGGCCGAAGTTATATTCGGCCGCAAGATAGTGCAGCACGCGGGCCAGCTGAGAGGTTGTGGAATGTCCCCTGCGGAAGCCAAATTGCTCCTCACGCAGGGTAACATGTGGGAGAACCCTGTGCAGGGTGATTTTTTCAAAAAGTTTTGCTATGTGCGGCAATAGCGTTATGGGGCGGTAGCTGGCCGGGAACCTCCTGTCTTTTCCCGGCTTCGGCAGCACGATGATTCTGCCCTGCTTCCAGATGGTCGGGAAGTGGCCAGTCCGTAAGATGCCATTGTACAGACTGGTGAGTGCCACTATTACCCTTCTGGGCAGCTGCTTTATGGCTGTGGTGGTGATGCCGTCGTAACCCGGCGCTTTACGGCTAGGTAGGCGCATAATAGTGCGCCTTACCTCTGCTGGAGATATGAAATCGCCGCCTCGCAATGGCGGCGCCGGGTTAGAGAGGTATTCCCGTACGCGGTCCTCTATGCCTTGTACGTGGTCTGCGTACCCCTCTGCTATGCTGTTGGGTATGAACTGTTGTTCTAGGTGCTGTGCCATCAAGTCCGCTCTAGGTTGGGCGTCGTAAATCCTACTCCCCGTGCTGTCCACCAGTGGGCAGACAGGTGGTGGTGTCTTGGTGAGCTGCCGGTTGAGGAGATGCAGGGAGGCGGGTGTCTCCGAGGCTTCGTCGACTCGCCTCTCCCATGCTTCTCCCCTGTAAGCTCTCATTGCTTCCGACAGCTCTTCCATCATAGCGTTTAGTTTAGTTTTTATCCGTGGGCATCGTGTCCGTGCCCAGAGTCTCCTCATCTTCCGCTTCTCGGACAGGAGCGTTTGGAGGTTGCGTGGGAGTCCCTCCTTCCCGCGCCCCGTGGAGACAGGGTGAGAGTGGAGTTGGAGTTTATCTTTTATAGTGTTGTGAAGATGTAGGGCCGCAGTCTCCACATCTTCACTGGTGGTAATTGGGGCGCAAGGTTGGAAGTCCTCCAGCGCACTACGAAAGCGGGTCCAATTTGTCTTCATTCGGAGACTTCTGGGCACCATGGCATCCGTACTGGTGTCGATAGTAATCAGCACGGGGAGGTGTTGTGTATCTATGTCATACAATACTTCTAACCGTGTTGTATACGGCACTAGATGACACAGCACAATGTCAAGAACATCGGGCTTATGTTCTGGCTTTGTCGGGATATGGGTGGGCTCATCAGGGCCCAGCACCTCGTACCCCCACTCCTCGGCGTCGTCGAACAGTTTCCTGCCGGGTGGTGTGATCAGCGCGGAGCCCCAAGCGGGATGTTTCGCGTTGAGGTCTCCGGCGATAATTGCAGGTGTCGTGGAGTCAAATATGGTACGTATGTCTTGGGGGGCAAGTGAGGTGCCGGGAGGTCTGTAGGCAGCAAAGATTCTAATTTCTCTGGTGCCTACCCTCAGCCTTACACCTTTGGTTCTGGTGGATATAAACTGTGTATTGGTGCCAACTTCTTCGTGCATGACGTCCCTCCTCACAAGGACCGCAGTACCTCTGTACGCGATACCTTCTGAGGAGATCTCGTCATGTCGGTACACAAAGAAGTTGGGGAGTTTTAATTGAGCAGAGGGGCGCAGTTTGGTCTCCCCCAGTAGCACAATTTGGATATTGTGCTGCTGGACCAGGGTTCTCAGGTCGGCGACCTTCCCTAAGATGCCGCCGGGGTTCCAATAACACATCCTAAGTGGATGGCCTGCTGACGGAGGTTAACTGGGCTAAGGCCGTTAGGATGGCCGAAAGGGGGTTGGTGCCGGTGGTCATGGCAGTCAGGACCTCTCCTAAGATCCTGATTACCACGCCCACCAGTTGAGCGAGGGCCTCCTCGATGGTGGTTGGTGCCTGGGGCTGTAATGGGGGAGCGACAGTTATTGTCTTTTTGGGTGGGCGTTGATCTCGGGGTTGGAGTGCAGATTGCTCGTTCTGATTTGATGGAGGGAATGTATACCGCGGTTGTGGCAGTGATTGCTGTTGTTGTGTGGTAGTGGCGAGTGGAGGAAGAGGAGTCGAAGTACCACCTACTTGAGCTGGTTGGGTGGTTGCCTTCTTCTTCTTCTTCTTCTTTCCTCTCTTTTTCTTTGGGCGCTCTGTGCGCTCCGTGGCGTTATTCGCCGGTGGTGCTAAAGTCGCCCCGGTCGTAACAAATGTGGTTGGTGCAGGTGTGATTATTACCTGCCGCTGTTGCGGTTGCGGTTCCTGCCTTTGCAGGTGTTGCTGCTGTGAATATTGCTGCTGTTGGGGTGGGTAGTACTGAGGTTTTTGAGGTGGTGGAGGTTGCCAATGCGGTGCAGGTGGTTGGCTTTGTAGTGGGGGTGGTTGACGTTGCGGTGCTCGTGTTGTTTGCGCGGGGATAGGGGGTTGCATATTAATCCCCCTCTTCCTTGCAATTCGCTGCAACACTGGGCACCGCCTGTCATTCGCCGAGTGATCTTTCCCGCAGTTTGCGCATTTAGGTTGCGCATCCCGCGGTTGTGGGCATGCTGAGGCCAGGTGGTCACCTGCACAGCGTACACATTTGAAGGGTCGGTAGCAGTTGTAGGATGCGTGTCCGAACCCTTGACACCTGTGACACTGCGCAGGGCCAATTCTGCCTGTCCAGCCTTCGATTGTTACTCCCGGCATGTAAAGGAGCTCATCAATTTGGTATAATCTGTTGAGCTCTTCGGGGCTTAGGTGACTCATTTTCACGTGAAACAGGCAGCCAGGCCTGCCTCTTTTTGGTGGAATTGACCGTACAAATGTAACTGGAAAGCCCTTCTCTATGAGGGCCTCCTGTATGTCTTTAGGGTCGGTATCTGCAGGGAGCCCTCTTAACCCCACCT